GCAGTTATTTATTTATTTGCGAGGGGGTTCGGGGTGTTCAGATTCAGCCTGCGGGAACAACAATGGCGGGCTAACGCAGAATAATGGGATAACAAAACGCCCTTGACACCCAGTAAAAAGACAGCCAGCCCTCAAAAAGTGGGCAAAAGTAGCCTTATTATTATGAACACAGCACGTAGCAATTGTCCAGGGGCGGGGTGGGGTCTTCGAAGGGGGTTTTTCACCGCACACACAAAGGATCCGGGCCCCGAAACAGACCCACAAAGTACAAATCAAACCCTCGAGAGCAGCCAAATAATAATATACATCTGAAGAGCGAGAGGGAGAGAGGGCGAGGGCGAGAGAGAGAGAGAGTGAGGGAGAGGGAGAGCACAGCAATGGCGCACTGCAAACACAAGGGGTGTGAGTGAGAGAGAGCGAGCTATGCGACTTTGGGGGTGTGTCCACCAGACACTCGGGGCTATCTCATCTCTCTTTCGCACCGCCAAGACCTAACCAACACTCGCTACTCGCCGACCGGGCAGCCATCTCCCTCACACCCTCTCGCCGGTGGGACTGTAGAAAAAAGAGAGATAAGATAGCGTCCGACGAACACGGCTCTTGCGTTTGACATTCCGGGGTATTGCGTTCAGTAGCCTCGAGTTCTCGTCGCCAGCACCACGTTTACCGTTAGCACTGGCCCACCACCCCGTACACCCCAACCACCCATAGATATACTCGCTGTGCACGATATACACGCATCCAACAGATACTTTTTCGAATTCGTTTTCAATCCAGCTACGTCCTGTTACGGATGCAGACGCGTTGCCTCCGTGTGATACCATACCAATACCAGAAATACCAGGTTGAGAGCTACAAATACCAGAGATTCGAGTGCCCAGATACTTAGCCTAATTACGCCGCGGATTAAATTATTAAAACACTTAAATCCGCCTAGGATTTGCCAATCAAATCACATCGAATCATTTGGGATCGAGTCGAATCAAATCAAATCAAATCATATCATATCACAGCCAGTGCTTCGCGAGTGCTTGTGCGCGTGTGTGTTTGTGTGTGGCCACGGCAGCGAGATTAAAAACATATCCCCGAGTTACTTAAAATTAATCACTAACATAATCACTGTGATTTTTATTATTTGATCTGCCAACGTCAACATCGCGTGTGCGAAAACAGTTTAACGGCTGGGGGCTCCATTAAATGCCGCTTCGCATTTGATTAGCAATCTGTTGCAACAACAGCATAAACCTATACCGATCCCCGAGATTTATTGCCCGCTGCCCACGCGAAGATTTTCCGAGATTTTCCAAGATCTCCGTGCGATTGAAATGCTAGCCATCTGATTTATTGACGTGCCCACGACATTTGCTCCGGAAGAAAAGCCAGCAAAGTTCGCCTTTGATATTCCGGATCGACGGAATCAACGGAACCGACGGAAGTTCGTTCCCACCACCTAGTGGATTAATTTCAATTCCTGTCTCATCATTCAGAGGTGAGTTTTTATTTTCATAACTTGATTTGAGACTAAGTACCTATATTTGCAAATTGGGTTAGACATGTTTGTTGTTTTAAGACTTCTTAAGCAAGTGGTAAACATAATCATTAGTTTGCTATGATGACTTAAAAGATAGGCACTACAAATTGAGGTATACAAATCCCATAACAAATAGATGGTAAAGAAAAACAGTTTAAATCATTTGAGTTTTAAAGTCAAGCAATTTATCTTGAACTATAGTGGTGGTGTGTGTTGACGAAGTTGGACTCAAAATAGATGTTCAATTTAATGATACCTGTACAAAGCCAAGACAAACAATAAATAAATAAAATATTTTAAAGAAATAGTTCACATGGAATTTTTAAAATACTATTCGGCTTAAATATTATAGTTATTGCTATGCATTTTCAAACAAAGCGTATAATAAATTGCTTTTAAAAATATATATAATTTATAATCTTATCATTTCATTTTCTGGGAAATACATCGTTCTAAATTCTATAGAAAATGGCAAAGAATTTAACGCATGAATATTTCTTCAATATTTATATAGTATAGTTAAAATGGGGAAATCCAAAAGATCAGGTTTCATTTAAAAATTAAAGTTAATTACAGACGGAAAGATTAAATTTAAAGCAAGTTGTAGTGCAAGCCTCCGAAAATTTGTTTTCAGTCATATAAAAACGAAAGTAAAGCTGTCCGAAGTTTCCCGGTAAACACCTTCCTAGGAACTTAAGCACTTCATAATGACAATGTCAATTGTGCTGATGCTAAGGAAAATAGGCTAGCTTTCCAAGGAGGATCAGCAGAGGTTCCCATCTCCAAGCCAGCCAATAAACCTATTGTTGGTCAACGAATTAAGTTTACGGGGCGCTCTCACGCCGCGCATAAATCACGGCGGAGTGAGACCCGGATCTGGGATAGCGGCTATAAAAGCCCATATCGGATAGCTTGTAAGGGGGCCTCTGGGCTTTTGGACCGGAGAATTGCCAAAAAATTGGAGGAGAGCCCGGCCAGGTAGCGCCGGCCTATTGACGTCACCTAAACAATTAAGATGTGGTCGTCGGTGGGGCAAACAAGGCATGGAAAAAACCTAAGTACACAGTGCTGGGATTGCTGGGCAGCCGCTAAACTCGAATTTGAATAAAATAATAAAATTAAATAGAAATGAAAACATGTGGAAAGCCTTGGCAAAACATCGGAATCTTGCCACCTTCGCGACGAAGAGGCCGTAAACACACGAGATCTGCGCCGGCCATAAAGTGGCATAAAATAATTCTGGCATTCTTTGTCTTAGGGAATCATTATGTAAATAAATTCTCACTTTTGAAATAAAATGACGAGGCAGAAAAGCAGCACGGCGCACATACGAAATAGAGCGAAGAATATTCTTTTTGTGGAATGGAAACAATGGCAATGACGGCTGGCACTTTGAACTGGCAACCGAATTATTTATTAGACGCTGCGGCAGATAATATAGCCAGAAATTGAGACAACTGCGGCAAAAGCTGAGCAAATAAGAGTGTTATAAATACTCATCACGGCAATAAATGCAGAAACTTTTCATTTCAACGGCTGCCGACTGCTGACCCATCAAAGAGTTGCCCATAAATTCGCTTCAAGTGAAATTATGTTTATCACGACGGGCTGCTATTATTGTTGTTGAACAACCGCAAATGGATTTAATATTACAGCCGCACTAATCCACTGGGGATCAAGTGGAGATCAAGCGGCATTATCGGGCATGAATTATCAACGAAATCGAAAGTGACAACTCAAGCCAAAGCATTCCAATTAAATTTAATTAAATTCATTTCAACTGCGAATTTATGCTGCCCGCTAGATTTATGAAATTCGTTCTCATTTCGCCTTTGAATGCCTTTAGTTTGTTGTGATTGAGATTAGATAACCATTTATTGCAACGTTTCGTTTCGTTTGGTTTCGTTAGCTCCGTTTGCTCAGATAGCGGCCAATATATACATATATATATATATGTCGGACTCCCCCGATATCGGGCGAAGGGGCCTAGGAACCTGGAGAGGTGTTCCCTCCCTTTTCGCTAATTGATTTACGATCGTTTATGGCTATTTTTGTGCTACTGTCAGTGGCCTGTTTTTTATTTTTAACGAATTTATTAGACGCCCATGACACAGTTTATCGCTCTAGTGCTTCCAAGTCTACCTTTCTACCATTGCCACTTTCGATTTGCCAAAATCGCGCAGTGTACGTGCAATATTAAACAATAATAGCGGAGAAATGCTCGCAGAAATGTAAATATTTTACATCGATAAGGCTGTTATCACCCGGTGGGTCCCCTCTTTACCGCTCCTCAGTCTGCTGATAGCGGTGTAGGTGGTTCGGTGGTTCGGTGGTGCGGCTGTCAGCTCATGTGCCCCACCAGACCCCCCCTCCGGTGTGCCCCGCGAACAGCCCCATCCCCACAATTTACGACGCTAAGTGAACCAGTCCATTTTACCACTCCCTTTGCCGACGGCTCCAGCATCCGTGGTATTAACCCCTTGACGTGTTTGGTGTTAACTTGCCATTCGGCTGGTGTTTGGGTTAAGCTCCCTGTTTGCCTTCGCCGTTGAGGCGATAAAAAGTTCCACAAGTTGATTTGCCTACCAGGTAGCCAAACGATAATTAAGTAGTAGTAGAATGAACTCGATATGAGTAACCTAACATAGTGCGATATCTAGCATCTACCAATACTAAAATAGATTAACAGGTTAAACCAATATATTAAATTAATATTTGTGCTATTTGCGATTTACAACTTAATTGCACTCATGGAACACCAAAAAATCACAATAATAGTTTAACCACAAGACTTTTATTATATTTTAGAGAATTTAAATACAATGAAAATTATTTTGAATGTATAGCCGCATAATAGATACAAATTTCACATAATCCCAAAAAGTCATATTAATATTCAATCGTAATTTGATAATATGCATTACTAACGAGTTCATAATTGAATATCCGATCTAAGTATCCTATATTTTATTTATTGACTTTAAAGAAAAGGACAATAAAATAAAACCACTTCAAGATCAAAGAAGAAATAAAGAATATTACGTTTTAGCTGTTTGCAGGCTTTATATAATTTGTAATGCTTAATCATTTAATTGCCTACCTAACAAAATTGAAGTGCTAAATGGTAGCTAACCGTTGCAAATCAAATAGCTACTGCAAATAGGTATACCAAAGAAATAGTTAAGTCGAATGAATAATAAGAAACAACCATTAAGTATTATATCTTAAGCTAATATATGAACATAACGATTTATATAATTGTATAATAATCATCAGAGTACTAATTTACTTTACCTTTCTGTATTCCAGCTTTACGGGCTCTGGCAACGGCTGCATCTTGGATTTGCTTTCACCACAGTTGGAAGATACCGGCCTCAAGACGACGACTTTCCTGCAGCACTTCAAGGACGTCGTCACGACGAAGTTCACGGGGAGGGACCACCACCTGCCGCCGCTGCACCCCGCGCACCCCGCCCACCCGGCGCACCAGCAGTCGGCGCTGCACCACCACCACCACCAGCAGCAGAGCTTCTCCACCATTTTCCCCACGTATCTAGGCATGGACCGCTCCTCCGCCGTCGGCGGTTGCGGCGGGGGCGGCGGCCTGGGAGTGGGCGTGGTCACCAGTTCGGCCACCGCCCTGGGACCCGGTGGCCTGACCAACGGGGGCGGTGGAGTGGTCAGCGGTGCCCTCAACGGACTGGAGGCCATGTCGGCGGAGTCCACGGGCCTGTGTCTGCAGGATCTGGTGAGTGCCGGGACGGCGAATGGAGCAGGATCGGCGGGATCGGCGGAGAGTGCCACCACCACGAGCACGGCCCTGAGCAGCGGCAGCACCGGCAGCTCCACGGTGAACGGAGGAGGGAGTAGCACCTCGGGCACGGAGCACCTGCACAGCCACCACAGCCTGCACGACTCCAGTTCGTCGGTCAGCATCTCACCCGCCATCTCGAGCCTGATGCCCATCAGCAGCCTGAGCCACTTGCACCACTCCGCGGGGCAGGACCTGGTGGGTGGCTACTCGCAGCACCCGCACCACGCGGTGGTGCCGCCGCACACGCCCAAACACGAGCCGCTCGAGAAACTCCGAAGTAAGTATCGAATAATCCAGGGAGGGATCTTTACCTAGTTAGGGAAAATAGGGTTCCTAACATGGACATGATTATTTAGGAATCCCTAAAACAAGATTAAATATAGCTTACCAATCAAAAAATAGCATTTAAATAATCAGTTTCTTTCACTTTACTTGATTTAACTGAAAACAATATTATAAGAACATTTAAATAGTAATATAAATTTTTTTTTATAATTTGTAAACCTAATATAACAAAATGAAAACAAATTATATGCAGACAATAATTTTCTATCTTAATTCATATTTATTGAATATAAGTTATATTTCTTTGAAATATGAAGTCCATTAGTTTTATTTCATAGTATTTGCAAGAAATTCTTCAATAAACTGTAAAGAAAGAAATAGAATGAGATTGAAAAACTAATATCTTTTTAGGGCAAAGATTTTCTTTTGATCAGTTCCCTTTTGAGGAGATTTTTTCCGGCCTTAGAAACTATATTTTCCTTTAGTATAATAGCTGACAATTTCTTGGGCAATTTGTAGTGAAATTTGTGAGTGGCATCTCACGCATTGACAGCTAATTAGTGGGCTCATAACTCAGTATAAAAGATGTTCTCTCGTGGGGCCCTACTAAAAGAGATCCCCTTCGATCCAAAACATCAACAAGTGTCCACATTCTCATTGCTATTCATGGCACTTTTGTGGGTTCGCCCTGTGTTTTTGTTTCTATTTGTTTTTTTTGTGTTGCCTCTGTCAGAGGCAGCTGTTGTCATTTCAATATGCGATTCGTTTTGGCCATCATTCACGCTCCGTGCCAAAAGCTCACTCCCTTGGCCACTTGTCGCTCCGCATTTGCCCCTCATGCATATTCATAATCATTGTGCAATCATTAGCGCATAATCTCCACAAAAGCGTTACAAAGGGAACAACCCAAAATACAAAAAAAAAAAAACAGGAGTTGGGAGATATAACTAAACAAATTTCAATTTTGTGCGCATGTCACGGCTAATTGAGCACCCTTCTGGCGTAGTGCCGAAAGCAACACTCTACCCTGCTCATTTTCCACTTCCCCTTGGAAGTTTCCCTTGGGTATTCGATATGTGCATTGTAGTCAAGTGTTTGTTGTTCCGATTGCTCTAATTGTTATGGGAATTTGGACTCTTAGGAGGATGCTGTAGCCCGATTGGATTGTATTTGGGATTGGGATGTGAGGCAGTCAAGTGTGCAATGCCACAGCTTCAAGTGCTGGAGAAGACAATTCAATTGGTTCTGGGGAAGATTTTGGGAAGAAGTCAGGCACTCCAATTGAGCAGCGAACCTGTTGGACGAAGGTTTATAGATAGATTGAAGGAAGGAAGATTTCTTCAGTGTGAAATTCAAATATCTTTCTTATTTTTGATAGCCCCACTTATTTGTTTACCAAATAAAATGAATATAATCAGCCATAATTATTAAAAATCTAAAAGTAATATAAAAATGTAAAAAAGCAGGTGAAGTCGTCAAAATATATATGATGCTTTTTAATACAATTTTTAAAAAGTTTAAGATCCTTTCCTACAAGAACCTTCCTACAAAATTTCCATTTGCATAAGAGATTTGTCTGCCCTCGCCTAGAGATTTGTTGGCTGTCGCCCTGTCATCTCAACTCTGGCCCTTCGGGGTTAACATCCCCAGGCAAACTTTGCACTTGTCTGCATCCCGAAATGCCCGAAAAGAACCAAACTGAACCTAGGTGAACCCATGGCCACAGATGTCCTGCCATTTATTTGCGTGCCAAAACAATTTAGCACAAAAATGGTGAGCATTTAAAATATGCACGACTGCAGTTATCCTTTGACACCCGTACAAACACGTAGATATTCGTAGCTGCAGGTGCGGGCCACGTTAACAGCTCCTAGCCACAAATTTCCACTCCTGTCCGCCTGTTTTCCCCAGCTTTCCCCCGGTTTTCACCCTATGTTCCTTGCGTTGTTGTCGTTATTGTTTACGCTCTTGTTTAAATAATGGCCACGCAACGTGATTCTGGTCCTGATGCCGGCTGGATTTTCATCAGACTCCAGGAATTGCAGTGCAATTTAATGGTCTACATACAAACACCCACACCGGCCATTCTTTTATAGATATTTATTTATGTGCATTTATATGTGCGGCGGAGGTAATAATTTTTAACGATTGCACTTTTTTATGGCCAGTGTTCCACCTTTTAGTTTCGACTCTTTCGTTTTATTTTCGGGAGATGATTTTATGGCTTCGGTGCGTGTTTTTATTTCGCTGGCGGTGCTCAAAGGATTTCAAGTTCACGTTTTACACTAATTTAGCCCGACGGGGAAAGATTTTTATTGGTAAACACGCAACTCTTTAATAGCTCGAGATTGTCGCCTAAGTTATGTTGTCAGCAGCTGGGAAAACCGACCTTGTCCCTTCGACTTTGTATTTCATATTTCACCATCGCGGCAATTAGGGAATTATCTCGGCTGTATCAGTGACTATATCAACATATATCCACTGGCATCTACATCTATTTGCCCCAGGCAAACCAAACAGAACCCGAAACGAAACCGAAACCGAAACTGAAACCAAATCAGAGCAGTTTACATTTCTTTTTTGGTTGCTCGGCAAATAATAGAATGTTGTTTTTATTTCTATTTCTTTTTTGTTTCTATTTTTTATTGCCAGCCAGAGCTAGTCCTTAGCTTGTTTGCCAAGTTGTTGCCACAGATACGAGATGGAAAACTATTTGCCCATGACAATGTTTGTGGCTGATGCCGTTGATAAAATTATGAAATTACCAGAGTGCTTCAGTTTCTGTTTTGGGTTCGCCTTTGAGTTTCTGGTGAAATCGTGCTGTTATCTGTTGTGTCTACACGAGTGTATATGCCCATCTTCCCACTAAGTGTTAATGGCACGTGCAGCTAGCCGAGCTCTAAAAACAAAAACCAAAAAAAAAAAAAACACAACAGAACAACATAAACAATGCTCCCAGACGAAGAGTCCCGTCTTGCGAGAAATCCAGGAGATACACACGAAACGGGGAGGGGTCCTTCAGGACAGCCGGGCTACTTTAAATTCCGCACCAACGCCTGTATTTGTCAGGCCTGGTCTTTATGAATATAAATACCTTTTATCGATTTTTCTGCACGGGCTCCCTGTTTCGCCTCTTAAAGCCTTAAAGGACCTTATCCTGCGGGACAAACAGCTAGTGCATTGCCCGCAAATCTCTGCGAAATTGCTCACATATGTCATCGCAAACTGGCGAATACAAGGATCACAGTCGAATTGGCAATGCAATCACCCCGAATGGCATATAAAGTGCACTTGCTGACCGCTCGGGAAAATCACGGCACTGTGGCTTATCGAAAGTAAAATAAAGAAAAAAAGAAACTAAAAAGAATAGTTTTACAAGCTTATATTTTTTAAAAATATTAAAATAGTTAAAATTTTTTTTAAGACAGCTCTTTTCTTTTCTTTAGCAAATATCTATTTATTCTTTTGTTTTTTCATAACAAGAAAAATATTTAAAAATATTTGTGATTATTGTCCATCCAATCCAATTCAAGTAATTCAATTTAGACACTTGTTCATGCCTTAACTGTAAGACTTTTGCCCCACTGTGCTCTATATGGCAATGTAACTACCGCAGAATTTGCCATTTATCAATCCAGCTGCACAGCTCTATCTGTACGTTTCCTCTTCGCTGGCACTGATTTCGTTTATATAAATTATATTGTCATTATGGCAACCAGCCACGGCCACAATCCAGAATGCGGAATCCACAACCCTCAATCACCATCCCCAATCCTCGCCGCTCCCCATTTTCCTCTAAGCAATTACCTCGTTGCAGAAGTTCGTCGGGAAAACTTCATTCTCTCTCCGCTTTTCCGCCTCTTTTCTCATTATCCGGGCATCGTGCAATTTCGTAAAAATGTCGCATTAGAGATTATCTGAGGAAACAAACTTGTCCGGCAGACAGGACTCCCAGATCCTTTTGGTTTTGGTCCTTTGGCCGGTTTTTGTTGGCTGACCCAATGGCAGGAAAGGAATTCGAGCTGACAGTCGGGCAAATTACTGGCCAAAGTCATTGCAGTGGAAAACTACAAGCCAAAAAGAAGGGGGAATCTAGTCTGGACAGAAAAACAAAGTCCTGCCCTTTTTTGGGGGGGATTCGGCTCTCCCTTTTGTCTTATCTGCAGCCTCGACTAATGAGTCCGGGGTTTTGGCCAGGACTTCGGCCATTTGGCCAAGGGTTGCTCTCCATTCTTGGGACATGTCAATGTGATTTCCGAGATTTTTATGCGACTTTGCTCCGGTCGGTCAAGTGCCCGGAGCTCATTATAGGGCCATAACATATGGCCAGGGGCCATTGTCTCGACCAAAGGATTAGTCCTGCGAGACATAAAAATTAACTTGCCAGCCATTGCCTAATTTTCATGACTCCGAATTAGGCTAATTTGCAGTGAGGGTTGCTCTTCTGCGACTTATTTTGCGGCATATGGCCAACAATTTCCACGGACATCAACACCTCGGCGGCAAATGTGGCATGAAATTGGAAAAATATTTTTATTTGCGGTGGAGGGAGCACCGCAAGTGTTTAACCCTTTGGTGGCCCAGCGAGTGGTTTACAATAAAAGCAACTCCTAGTGCTCGTCCCATTTCCAATTCCAATCTCAATTCCAATCCCAGAACCCAATCCCGATCCCAATCCCCTTTCAACTGTCACATTAATCGTTTGTTTTTGGTCACCAACTAAACGTTGCTTATGCTTGACATTTTCCTTTTCCCATTTTCCTCCCTTTTTGCGGGGCATGTCCTTTTGTTGGCTCGTCCTTTTATATTTTTGTTTGTTTTGGTCTGGTGAGGTTTTCCTCCCGACTGCTGAGGTTTCCTCCTGACAGTCTCCGTCTGCGTCTCCGTTGCCTGGTAATTTATTGCTCCGGCTGCCGTGTCGTGTGTCAAAAGTTTTTATGTGGAAATCTGTCTATGAATGAGGCGTACGTATGTGTGCAGGATGCTTAGGGCCAAGGCAAAAAAATACGAATCATTTTCGAATTTTTGTGCAGTTTCATTCGGGCAACCCTCGCTTGATTAATTGTGCCCGCCCCTCGGGGAGTGTTTGCCTTTGACTTTTGTTTGGGCCCATCACAATAGTCGCCAAGTCAAATAAATATCCCATTGCTCATTTGTTTGCTCAGCGGCTAAATGCCACTGCAAAATGGCCGTCGAGGTGATTTGGGAAATTCGGAAAACTCGGCAAACTCGGAAAAGCGAAAGTGACGCCGACACTTGTTGTCACAAAACACATAACACATAACACATAGCACAGAACTGAAACTCTTGACATGTGCAAAACGCTCCCGACAAGCAACGCCCACCTCTATTGACACTTGCCACTCATCCAAATTCGATACCCACTCACAAAACCTTGAAAACATTGTAAAACTCGGGCGACAACTGGTCGACAAATGTCACCGCCAGCTGACAGACGACGACAATTTTTCCGACCTGTCAGGCGGGAAAACAAAAACACACCAGCCAATGCAGGAAAATCAAACTCAAATTAGTCGCTGGCCAAAATGTTCGGGAAATATTTACACAAATAAAAATCGCCGTGCTACGTGATTTTCGCTGCGTTTTTTCCAAATTCTCAGTATTTTTTTTTCTCGCTTTTTGTTTTTAGAGCGTGTCGTTGGGAAAATATTTTTACGATACAAAGAATGGGCGATGACGACCCATTTAACTCAGGTCGGAAATCGGATTTGGGATTTGGAGCAGCGACTATCTATTAAGATTCATTCAGCTGTGTCTTCAAAATCAAAGGTTGCAATGAGGCGTTCACTAAAAAATGAAAGTGGAAATGAGGATGTAGAGGAATTGATGCGAGAAGAACCGTCTCATATAACAATTTGGGGATAAAGATATAAGATGCACCTTATAGCTAAAGTGAATTAAAAAATTTACAATTAACTCCGACATTTCGAAAATTATTCCTTCTTATTCATTTGAATTATCTTAAATCGAAGAGAACAACAAATTTTCTCTATTTTAAGTTGTATTTTTCAATATTTAAAGAAGATTAAAATATAGTATGACTTGATCAATCTTGACAAAACAATCATATTAAAAATTAACCCCGCTACTATGTTTGTTTAGAGAATTTCCACCCAACATCCACGCGCTCATAATAAAGCAATGAAATTTTAATTACCCCAAAACGCACTCATTAGAGGCCATAAAAATACTTTTCACGGAGAAATTGGAATTTTCAACGGCATGTGAGGCTGTTTTCGGCGGCATAAATTATGCAACTGGCAATAAACTAATTGAGCCATGGGCCACTTCCAAAGGGGATGACATTTGTGACTCCTAGGGGTACCCAAGCCCCCACTTCCCCTTCCCCAAAAGAGAGGATGGCTAATTGTTTCAAATGTCTCCGCGGGTGTTTCCTTTACGCACTGGCACTTTAAAAACCACATTAAAATGACAGCATGTGAGAAGGCCATAAATTACCAGCGGTATGCAAAGGAAGTGCGTCCAGAAGATTTAGGAGGAAGTCGGGACCTCGGGACCATATGGGTGCACACCTTCGTCTTCGCCGGAAAACCCCCAGAAATCAATTGCTACGGCCATAAATCTGTGACGAAATTGGAAATGGGGGAAATCAAGTCATTGGCTGACTAATTAATATCAAAATAGGCGTGACTAACTACGGCAATTATAATGTGGCCCGGCAGCAAATTACTTGACTCATTTGGCGCCGGTAGATTTATGGGTCCAAAAGTACAGGGCGATTCACTCGATTAACTTTCCCCATGGCAACTCTTTAAGCACGAACTGAAGTTTTTATAATCTTGCCCCTGGAAACAATGAAGTTGGCCTCCTCCAGGAGCAATCCGCACTTTAATAGGGCTAACCAAGAGCCCATTTCAGGCTGCGGTGTCATAAATCCTTTTATGAGCTCCTTAACGGGCTCCTCTTTTCTCGGGATTTCCCCGGAAATTGGAGAGTTAGGGATGTGAGAAGTTTTTTAATGGCTTGAGGCTTTCACAGGCGTGAAATACATTTAAATATTTTGAAATTGGGTTTCTTTTAAGTTCTAAATGACTAAATGTAAAAAATTGGATGATTGCTTGAGGAGTTTTACAAGATCAAAATGTTTAAAAAAATGATAACCCGTTTAAAAGATATTGTTCAAATCGCTTTGCATTTGTGGGATTTAAGTTTTTGGATGAGATCAAGATAGGATAAGTAAATAAGTTTAGTATAGTAATAGTCATAGTATAATAATCATAGTCAAAGCTAGGACTGCTATATATTTTTGGGCTCTTAACAAACTTCTGTTAAAACATAAATTTTTTTGTAATTTTCTCTTGCCTGCGCTGGCTTGTTCTTTTCAGTTTGGGCCGAAACCGGCGATTTCCGTGATAGTCATAGCTCCATGACCGCCGTAGCAAATAGTTTGGATAGCACCCACTTGAACAACTTTCAGACGTCATCGACATCCACGTTAACGAACCGGAGTCGGGATCGCAAAGATGGTGAGTAGGAGTACCACTGGCCGTAACCGCCATCCGGGCCTAAAAAAAACACTATTCCCAGCCCGTATCCGTTATCACCGGGGGCCCCATCGATAAGGAACATAATTTATAATAATTTCGGAAAGCGTGGCCAACGATTCCACCTTTGTCGGCGAAATTTACTCGCCCTGGTCCGTTTAGTTTTCGATTAGACTGCCTTTGATTTGCGACCTCACGACGACAGCGACAGAAAGTGAGAATGGAGCCGAACGAAAATGATATTTCACAGGGGCAGTAATTTAGTTTATTTGATTAAGTTTTCGGCAGTTTCGGTTTCGGTCTCGGTTTCTGGGCCCTACAAAACATACAAAACACAAAAAGCACGCCGCATGATCGATGACATTCGGGAACATACATTAACTGGTTATAAATCTGTTTGCCGGCGGTCCGCCTTTGAAGTTTGTGGGGGTGGTGGGTGGTTGTTGTTTGCTGGCGACGCCTGAAGGTTGCATGGCAATTAGTAACGGTGCTCCGATGACGCCAGAAATCAGAAGCCGCTCAGGAGACCTTTCCCCTTCGCGCTTATCAAACCGCTAACCCAAGTAAACCCAGACAGAGGGCATAAAATAGCTTAGCCTGCTGGGCAAACATATTAGGCAACCGTCAGCTAACACAATCCTAAAATTCTATATCTTTGTTCAAAGGCTTTCATAACATATTTTGTATAGAAATATATATAAGAAGATTATGACCAAGATGCAAAAGAGATTTATAGTTATATTTTGTAGACATTAATGTCCAATTAAAGTAAATTGTTCAATTAGCTTTTATTGCCATTAAAACTAATAGCAAATCTTGTTTTCCACACAGGCAATCGCAGTGTAAACGAGACCACGATCAAGACAGAGAACATATCAAGTTCCGGACACGATGAGCCGATGACCACCAGTGGTGAGGAACCTAAGAATGACAAGAAGAACAAGCGGCAGAGGCGCCAGAGGACGCACTTCACCTCGCAGCAGCTCCAGGAACTGGAGCACACCTTCAGCCGGAACAGATATCCGGACATGTCCACCCGCGAGGAGATCGCCATGTGGACCAATCTTACAGAGGCTCGAGTTAGGGTGAGTGCACTCAGAGAATAACATCGTATTAGTATTTAGATCTTTTTATTTTGATATCCAAAGTTTCTATATAAAGCTCGATATACTTCATTGCAAGATATTAAAGCCTACAGTGATTATAACTAGGTTTGAATAACACAGAAAACCATTGTGTGAAATGGACAAACATTTAGAAATCAATATTATAATATAGTTATTTATAGGAAATCATATTATGCCAAGTTTAGTTCTTGAAGTAAAATTTCTAAAGCATTTGTATTATGCTGGGCATATTTCCACCCCTTCCGCGGACTTTGCACCAACATTACCGCGCTGATGCTCGAATTAATTGCCAACCAAGCCGCAAACGGCAAACAAACGCCGAATCCTGGCCAGTCCGGCCACATTATGCGGCCATTATAGTCCGGGCCCAATTATATTACGGACCGCAGGAGTCGCGACCGCAATGCAGCCGCACAGACTCGTAAATATGTCGCCTCGTTTGGCGTTGGCTTAAACCCCAATACGGCCAATACTCGTCCCGAAAAAAGAAGAACCGATTTCCCTGCTCCACCGTCGATTTATGGGCGGTATTGGGGGCAAAGGGGCGTGGCGTAGCATGGTGTGGTATGGTGTTGCCATAAATTGCCGCAGCTAAAACTGCAGTTGGCAACGTTTGCAGCATTTGCTGTTTGTAAACCGCGGGCTTATCGAACGGCCGACCTCAACTGAACTGCATCGAATGCGCGGAATCGGAGTGTTTGCTCAATATCCATTCTATTGACATGGGCCAGACTTGTCCATGTCCGAGATACAATAGTTGTCCACTGGTATTTAGCTAGCGAGGTATATTGTATCGTAGAGAACTTGGTTAGAGTATAAATTAAATATGGGAACAATATAATGTTCTATGCCTAATAGATAATATTTTGGGACATACATACATTTTTTAAACCCATACCATTTTACACTTTAAATAAAATGAAAATCATCAACATTTATTTAAATGGTATAGAAAATACCCATCTTTACTTTCTTAGAATAGAGATATATTCGGCAATAGAAGTCCACACCAAAATGAATTTTAAAAAAATGTTTAAAGGATTGAATATTAAACTATAGCAAACAGACTTCTTTTTCTTCTACTCCGATCTTTTTCTACTAAAATATTTAGAAAGATAAAAATACCTAAAATACACTTTATTCTTAAAAACCCTCTTTTCTTTGATAGTCTATGCGTAATGTGGAAGAACAACTAATAACAGGGGCCCGGAGTTGTAAAAGATATCTTGGCCACACAACAGTTGTAATTGTTTGTAAACACGATAGTTAGTTGGGTAAACAATTGGAGTTGTGGCGCCAAGCGGCAAATACTCTCCTGATATCGAAGATATCTGTATCTGTATCTATTTCCATTTCCACTTCCATTTCCATTCGGCGTGACAGTCGGTCAGGATGGAAAGACAATCAGCAGACAGCCAGAAGATATGATAGACAAATGATCGATGATCGGCGATCGCTGATGGTGATCGGGTTTGCGATCATTGTCATTGGACGTATGGCGACATCGGCGTGGCATTAATTGTACATTTAGAAGTGGTTGAGCAGCAGGCCATGGGAGTTATCATCGAGGTGCAATTAGTCGGCGAAAGGGCGAACATCTGCGAGGAAAGGCAAATAGTTCATGGTTTTCCTATGCAAATTTTCACACCCTGGACTCGCGCATATGCCCAGAAAATCTCTGGATCTGGATGTAACTCCCCCGTGCACTTGACAACATTTATAAAGAAATTAGCTGCGGCCCAAAGTGACAGGGGGAAAGGAGCCGGGAATGATGTCAATCTAAACATGTGTTCCTCGCATAAAGCAGCTAAATGCATAAAATATTGATACAGTTTGTTTTATGGTCCATTATATGATGATGACAAAACGGTTGCTCACTTTTCCGACTTTTCCACCCTACCCAAAATGCAAAACAATGCCCGGACTATTTGTCATCGCTCGCCGAGGGTTGTTTAATGAATTAGAAAACCGCACACGAATTAATGATGATCGCGATCATGCCTTTGACTGCGTCCAAGGGGTGGCTCACATTTGACTTTGACTTCGGATGCCCATTGTAATAGCGAAGGCAATAAAATTTATCAAATATACAAAAGGATTACGGAGCAGTGCAACTCCGTACCGGGCTGGGCCGTATAAATCTGGCCGGGCTTTAAACTGTCAAAAAAGAGCAGCCCCGTCTGAGGGAGAGTTGCTTCTGTTTCAGTTTCATTTTCTGTTTCTTCGGGCCCTGATAGCTACTAATCCGGGGATTTACATGCGCCGGCAATTATGGCAATATGTTCGCCCCGTCTGTTTCATTGTCTCCCCGTTCTCCCATTCCCATCCACTTTTTAATGTGTCAAAATGGAACTCACTTTTTAATTCAATTACCAGCCAAAGACTGGCAAAAACAAGGCCCATAAAAGCATTTGTCGCTGCCCTCAATCGAAAATAGAATCGAATTGGGATGCAGGGGCCATCGGCTTGTATTGACTCTTTTTTGTGAGTTCCTTTTTATGGTCAGGTGTCGCCAATGGCCCGGAAATGGGAACAGCATTTGCCAATCGCTGAAAGTGTATAAAAAAGCCATTGAAAGCGGCCACAAAGGAGCCACAATATGCTGGGATGATTGCAGTTACAATGGCTCAATGTAGTGGATAAGTGCAAGGGGGTTTCCTGCAAAAGGGAGGGAAACACAAAACAATTTTAACTTTTTTATAAACAATGGAAGAGGTTTTTTATGGGCTTATTGTATTGAACATATTTTTTTATGTGTTTAAAATTGCGAACAAATTAAAATTAGTATATCTATATAAAAACATAAGGGTTAAAATGGGGAATTTATTCAACTGAAGTGACCGATTAAATATTCCAGACTATTTAATCTCATTAAAAATTAAATTAAAGTAAGAGAAACCCTTAACAAATATAGAGTTTTAAATATGATCATTTGAATTTAGAGTTATAAAAATGATATGAAATTCCTTTCAAAGAAGTTGGCAGCAATATTTTGGCAAAGCCTAGTCTGTGGAAACTTTCCCGACCTTTTGACTTTGTTTATTTGTGTAATAGCCATGATTAGGCTACTTTATTGTGCACATATGTGCCCATATCAGCAGCTGCAGTCGATCATCGGACCACCAATTAATACTGGCCCTCTGACTGGAGTATAGTAATATATCTGTGTAGTCATGCAGACAGTTAAACACACAAAGAGACAGCGCTGCGTGGAGTAGTTCACGTATCGATGTTATCTGGTGATTTTCACTTGGGCACAGCTATCAGCCGGTAGAGAAGAACCCCGGAAATGAGAGCCCCGTCCCATTTCACACATTCGGCAAATAAAAAACGTATTTAGCTGCAATTTGCGGCCATCAATCATGGAAGAGCCCGCACAAAAAATGAGGCCCTAACTTCTGCCACATGGTTACTTTTTGGCCACTCATATTTGACGTCGTTTGCTTGCTTTTTCTGTGTCCACAATTTACCTGATGAAGCGTTGCAGGACTTGCCGTCGAGTGGCATTGATGCTTTCATCAAAACCAATTAGGATTTTCCACAGGACTCTGCCCCGTTGAGTGGAAAATTGCGCTGTTTTTTTTGCCACTCTCTCATATTTCACTTTTTCACTTTTGCGCAGTGTCCCCCGTTTTTCCTTTTTTTCCTGCAGGCACATCAATTTGCCATCAGCATTTTCCATTTTTTCGTCTCCCTGGGTTTTCTTTATTTTTATTTTTTTGCAACTTCAGCAACTTGCTAAATGATACGTGAAAATGACAGCTGACGAGATCGATGACGCTAGTTTTGCATCCTTGATGATGCAGGAGAGCCTTGAGCTCCTGATGCTGATGGTTCCGTAGATTCGGATGATGATGATGATGATGGGGCTGAGCGATGTACCTTGACAAATTGACACATTGCCTTCGAGCAGGGGATTTGATTTAGGTCCTGGGAAAAAGAGGAAAATGGGAAAACTCTCGCTTTCGCTTTTGCCATTCCCGACCAGCTCATGCGATTTCAATTAACTGCCGCAACTAATTAGATTAAGGCAATTGCCGCACTAAATTTGTTTTGCTGGCACGCGGCCATAGTTTTTCACTTGTTAGCGGAGCTCGGAATGTCTCAATTTGAGTTTTCCCAGGCGAAAACAAACACTTTTTGCATAGATCAACGCGTGTCGGATTTTAGTCACGGCTAACAGGGGTTGGGGAATTTACAGGACGCAGGATATGTAGGACTTAGTAGGTAGTGAGGGGTGCGGACCTGCATTGGCCATAAATCTGCAACCCCGCAAACTGGAAACCGGCAACCGGCGCGTTGATTTAGGGACAATGTGGCAATGCGGCAACAAGCCATGAAATTCGAATTTGCAGCTTTAATTGCCCCGACCAAATTGTAGCTCAATCTGTGTGAACGAGTAGCGTTCCTGGCAAATGTATCTTAAATGTACACGTCTTAAAGCTCAGGGACTCGAGAGCAAGAAACTCATCAAAATGCTGCCAACGTCTGCGCAGCTCTTTGTCATTTGTATCTGTATCTGGGCACGAGTATCTTTGTCTGCCCCCAACATCCGTATCTGTGCAAACTTCAGCCATAAATTACAAAGTTGCCATTTTGTTTTTATCTTCTTTTGCCTTATTCTGTGCACTTTCTGTGTGCAAAATAATTTTGATTTATTTTTTGCTCCCTCGCAACTTTTCTTTTCCCCCACGGCACTCAGACTTTTCGGTGGTGGCAAGCCGAGTTTATTTATATAAAGCTCTCCATTAAAAAAGGCAACGGCAACGGCAACGGCTGACTGGGAGTATTTATGTATATATTTGTATATTTATAATTACTGCACATGCGTATTGCGGGGGAGCTCTTTTTGGGGAAGTTTTGCCGTTCGCCCGGGCAGATACATAAATTTTCAAGTAATAAATTATAAAAGAAAATGGCTGCCTGTGCAGCTTAAAAACTGCAAATAAGTCGCGCTATAAAGTACAACTTCAACTTTTATTTTTAGGATTTTACTGGCAGTTGCTCTCATTTTAAGAGAATTTAAAGCTTTGTAATCAAATGCTTGCTTTTACTGTTTTTAAAATATAAATACAAATTAAACTTGAAACCATTTTATATAGGAAACTGGTTCGGAATTCAATAAACATATATTTTATTAATAAACATTAATGCACAAGTTACCTCATAATTTTGAATGGATGACAAGCTAGGAATTTTCCTCAGTTATATGTGTTATTTACAAGATTAAAAATTATTTACTTATTCTTAGATTTACTATAGGCTTAAAGGGATAATTTGCTAGTCTGCTATCTTATTAAATAAATCTGTTTTATTAAAGTTATATACCAGTTAATTTATCCCAGATTACTAATTGGGTAAATCTCTATTTTTTCTCCCCCAGGTGTGGTTCAAGAACCGGCGGGCCAAGTGGCGCAAGAGGGAGCGGAATGCGATGAACGCGGCGGTGGCGGCGGCGGACTTCAAGTCCGGATTCGGGACACAGTTCATGCAGCCCTTCGCGGACGACTCGCTGTACAGCTCCTATCCGTACAACAACTGGACCAAGGTGCCCTCGCCGCTGGGCACCAAGCCGTTCCCGTGGCCGGTGAATCCACTGGGCTCGATGGTGGCCGGGAATCATCACCAGAATTCGGTGAACTGCTTCAACACCGGGGCCAGCGGGGTGGCGGTGAGCATGAACAATGCCTCGATGCTGCCGGGATCGATGGGTTCGTCGTTGAGCAACACCAGCAATGTGGGGGCGGTGGGCGCCCCCTGTCCGTACTCCACCCCCGCCAATCCGTACATGTACCGCTCCGCCGCCGAGCCGTGCATGAGCAGCAGCATGAGCTCCAGCATTGCCACGCTGCGGCTGAAGGCCAAGCAGCATGCCTCCGCCGGCTTTGGCAGCCCCTACTCCGCCCCCTCGCCCGTCTCCCGATCGAACTCCGCCGGACTGTCCGCCTGCCAGTACACCGGAGTGGGCGTGACGGACGTGGTCTGAGAAAACGCCCTGGGTGCGCTGCTCAACCAGCACCAGCACCACTTGCAGCACTTCTCGGGCGGATCGGTGGGGTCCGGGGTGCCGAACGGGATGCAACAGCACGGCGGCAACATGTTGCAGCACAACAGCAATGCCAGCAGCCTCCTCCTCGACCACTCCGAATTGGGTTTGGTGGGGGGATTGCCACATAGCAATCACCCGGATGAGGGCAACCACAGCCTGGAGGGCAGCAATAAATCCCCCATGGAGGCGCCCCTGGCCAACAGCAACAACAACAACAACAACAACAACGACAACGACGACGAGGATGTCATCGATTGAAAAGCTCTAACTTAAATCACACTAAAAGGCAGCCTAGCCCTAAGCATTCATAAATAATTTTAGATGTTTGCCTAAACTAAAGATAAATAATACGAAAAAAGAAGAAGCTAGAGAGAGGAGTCCCCTATCCAAAGATACAATTTTTTGAAGAACAATAATTACATTTACCAAAAAGGGAGCCCCGAATCGCTGGGTATCTCCAATTTATTTGCGTTGAGATTAAATGCCAACTACGTTCGATCGACCCCAAAACCAGAAATTAAGTGTTTTTGTAAATAAAAGCAAATATCTAGTTGTAAGAAGCGGAAACCCTAACTAATCAAGCCAAATAGCCAGCCCAAAGAACATATAGTCACTCCTAGTTCCACTTTCAGTTCCCCATCGTATATCGTATATATAAACCAGAAACGTATCAAGATTGTAAACAGCTAAGGCAAAAAAAAAAAAAGGAAAGCTAAAATAAAAACGAAAACTATATCAAGCCGTAGCAGTTTTTAAGGAGTTGTCTAGTCGTATAGAAATCCGAAGGACACGCGCATATGGCATATACTTGTCTGTCTGTATATGTACATGTATGTCCCCACTAAAGAGCCCCGTATAAATATAAACTATTTAATAATTGTACACTTAATATTACTAGTTATAGAAATTGAATCAAAAGAACAATAAAAATTATGGAAAAAAAAACACCCACACCAACGCGGTGAATGAATTACGAGGGCAAATTGCGGTCAACCGCTGGGATAACGAATGGCTTTTTTCCCGCTGGGAAAGCGGAGTGGGCAATGGAAAAATTAAAAAATCAAATTGTAATTTACAGCCACGAGGGGGGTAGAACGATATATGCCAATCGCCGGATTTTTTTTTGTGTGGCGAACTTAATTTAAAGCAGCTTTTCCTCCCCCGACAAGTTCTCCTTGTTTTTTGGGTGGTGGGCAACTGCTTAATTCCAAGGTGGACCTGGTGCAAAGAGAGATCCATCCATCAATTTATTCATTACAGCGAAATTATGTCGCATTTATATGCACCCCGCCGCCGACCGCCAAAGTGACAACCCCCCCGGAAAATCACCGCACAATAAAAATAATAATAAAAGGACATCCGCGTCGAGGGGGTTGATTTCCCCGGCATCCCTGGGCATCAAATTTGAATTTCATATGCTGCCCGCCTCGATTGAAGGCGGCTAATAAAGTGCCCAGGAAAGGGAAAGTCAGGGGGGAAATAAGATTTCCCGCTGCGTTAAGCATCCATTAAGGGGGGTGGAGGAGGTGGAGGAGGGGCTAAACTGCGACCCGGCGACCATTTGATTTATTTTATTCCCCTTTGCCCGCTGTTAATGTTTTAATAAGATTGATTTTATTGCCGCCTCCGTCGGTCGTCTTCGTCACTGTGTGCGTGGGTGGATTTGGCCCTGCTGGGGAGTCAAAGGGTTAATAAGTTGCGCTCCAGCTGTTTTAGGAACTCTATTATTGTCTCCATTCCGGGATGCTTTTCACTTTCTGCTCGAAATTGAAAGACGTTTGCGAATTTAAGAGTTTCATCGGGAAGTTTTCTGCGCTATCTGCATTGTATCGGCACACACTCGCGTAATTAACTTTTCGGCGTAATTAATGCCGAGCCTAATTATTGTTAATCAAGCTCAGGCCGTCAACCAGGCAGAGCAGACAGAACAGGCCGCATAATGGATGAGCCGCAATTAAAATCAACTTCCCATATATGGAGGGGGAAGCACTGCGATAACAGCGCGAGTCAGGCACAGGAATGTGTTGTTTAATAAAATTAAATAAAATAAAAGGCACCGTTTTTAATTCCCAAAAAATATGGTATATTACTTTTGAAAATAGAAGTATAAAGAAAACTGAAAGAGAACTCAATAATATTTGAGGCTATCTTACAATTTAGAAACGTTTCTTTTTACATTTCAATTGTATATTTTAAAGAAGCTTGTAATTTGAGATATTTCTTCGGAAATAATAGTATATAAAAATGTGCATTAAGGACACTAATATTTGATTTTATATTTTCAAACATTTTAGCAATATAGTAGTATAGAAGTTTAATGGTAAGCAAAACGTAGAAAAAAACGAAAATTTTCTAATTAACATATGAATAATTGCTGGATATGATTAAATTTTTTAATGACATATTTTATAATACTTAGTATCTGCAGAAAAGATAATAATTTTTAATCGTTAAAAGTATCAACATTAACTTTATGGGAACGACTGACATTCTTGGTCATGCTTTTCTAATTAAATAAATTATATGGAAGCGGGGTTTCTTAGGGGAACTTTTTCTTATCGTGTATATATCTATCCCATTCCATTTCAAGACCTTTTCGCGACCCTCGCATCTCAGCGACTTGTTCGATATCTGGCGCGAAAGAAGCGCCATCTTGAAACTGTCTTAAGACACGACGCATGCTGTCAGCCATTATTTGCCTGTTCCACCCCGTTGGATCCCACATTCCCCAGCCACTCCATATATAGAGACAATCGGAGAACCAGTCGAGCAACCGGGCAAGTTGGCCTTCTTCTAGTTGGGACCCCGGCACTTGGCTGATTCCCCATCATTTACTTTGTCAGTGTGCGGCAGCTTCATCATTATTATTGCTGCTGCCCCGCTTCTTTGTTTGCAACATACAAACTCGTCATCGTAATCATCGCCATCGCCATCATCATCATCGCCTCCATCTTGGCTGCTGTATTTTTCCCTTAGGTACTTGTCTTTCTTAACTCATTGCGTTGGCAATAAATCTTCGACGCTCTTATCTGCCAGGCACAGTTTGGGCTCGGATTTACCCCCATCCCAATCCCCATTAACTGACTTTCACTGGGCCATATGTCAGTTCTTGTTCTTCGTTCTCCTAAATCTCAAGGATCTATGGCACCTGTTTAGACAAAGGGTTTTCGGCTTAATGAGTCGCCGACAATTTAAATTTCTATTCCTGAGCCGCTTTTACTGCAGCAGCTTTGGGCCTCATTAAAAGGGGCTGAAATATTAACTAGGAAAATCTGAATAATTGCCCGAGTCCGTGTCTCTCAATAAACAAACCCCAAAAACGAAGATAATAACAATTAATGTCCCATCTGCCGGCCACCCAATTTATGGCCGAAAACAAAATGATGCCCATAAAACACATCTCATATTTGACTGGCCTTTATTTATTTATTTCAAATTTACTTGTTGGCCATTTTATGATGCCAAATTTTGACCTAAAAATCATAAAAATTGTAATCAAAATGTTTGCCCAGTTTATGGCCAACAAAAAGAAGGTCAGGAAAGTGGGTGATTGGTGGTCAGGGAGAGGGGAATTCTAATAACGTCTAAGCGCGAGTCCGGCCCAAAATGAAAAGGAGGAAAAAGCGGGAAAACGAAGGCCGAAGGCTCAACGCTTATGGCTTTTTAATGGTGCCGTGTGTCGGTTTTGTGGCAAATAAAATGGCGCACATTAAAAGCAGGCGATGGGGAGCAGCCCCACCAATTGCAGTGGCTCCCCGCATCCCGAACCCCGAAGCCCCGACCTCTGGCCCCTGTCCCATATTGGGGTCATGCATGGCAGCCCCGGGTAAATAAAAAATACATAAAAATATTTTACGAGGCCCCAGGCCCGGGAATAGAAGGAATAGATGGAGCCCAAGGAGCTGAAAATTATAGGATAGTCCTTAAACAGAAGGGGACAACGCAGCTAGATTGCAATAAAAATGGCGGCAAATAAAATTGACAATATTGTCATGCGCGCGATTTGATGCCAGTGTGTGGGGGCTTTGGACTTGGCAACAAAATGAGTAAATTTTAATTTACTTAAAAGGCATAAATAAAACCGGAGAACGTGGGCAAAGGCTTTTTAATGGAGGGTTTGCACCGCTTCTAAAATTATTTTCTTGGCTCAATAAGAACTGAAAAAAGGGTAAAAGCCTGTTATCGAACAAATACTTATAGTTTTTTACGACTAAAACTAATTAATTGGTTTTTAAAAGAACTAAATATAATAAGTGGCGATTTATCTGTTAGTTTTCGGATGTATCTTCCAAAATATGGCTAATAAAAGAATATGACAGAGCAACAGCTAATAAATAGTCAGCAATAAACGCCTTTTTGGTTTTCTAAAAGCCTGTAGTTAACTTTCATTTAATGTACTTGGCCGCGAATCTTTACTTTTGTTTTATCTGCCATACTAACTTTTTATAGAGCAGTCTTGGTGTTGATAAAATGGGTAATAAGTTGTGTGCAAAAGCCGTCGGCAAAACGCTAAAAGGTTTGCCCTTTATCTGTGTACCCCATTCGGGATTTCCCCACCCCTTCGTCCTTGGTAACTTGTATCTTTGAGAGTGTGGAGCCAATGATTATTCCGGGTTTTGTCATTTCAATTCGCATTATCCTTTGCACTTATTTTACTACTTTGTGCGCTACTGCCTCTGTTTTCCCCACCCCAATTTTCCGTTTCCCAACTGTAACTGTAATTGTGGGCTGGTGTGGGTGGCAAGGAAAAGGAAAAGGGGGTGTGTTTGTGTAATGGCGGGTTGCGGGTGTCCTTCCCCCTCCCCCCATTCCCCTTAGTTGCCTGTCGAGTAACTCGTATTGTCATTGTGCAAATAAAATATGTCACGAATCGCCCACTCCTCTTCTTCTGCTTTTGGGTCCACCCCAAAAAAACAGAAACACGCCCCCTGCTATGTGTGTGTATCTAACCTTTTGTGCCCATTGTAGTCCTTTGTACAGGACTCGCACAATGAGAGCAAATGTTTTGGTTGCTTACGAGCATCAAGAAATGAGAATCGCTTTTATATAAACTTGGGTGAATGAGGATGGGCGGTTGATGTGGTTAAAAGAGTCAGCCAGCCTTGATTCTGCTTTGTGCACTGAAAAAAAATAGGAAATACATAATGACCGTTTCGATGGCCTTTAAAAATATTAAGGAGTTCATTTTGAGAAGTTTCACTGGCATTCAGGCGTTTTATAAAATATTTTTGTGAATTCTTTAGAGTGATATTAATAAATGTAAAAACAATTACTTAAAATTCATGTAAATATTTGCTGTTGGTATTGAATTTTGATCAGCCAAACCTGTCTTTTTATATTTTTCAAGCCTTTCCTGTTTAATGTTATCTTAAAATGTTTTTGAATCTTAAAAACTATAAACTTAATCAGTACAACCAAATTCAAACTATATATGCAATTTTCCCCTATTGTATGTGTATTTGGTTTTGTAATCTTAGTGACTTTACAAGTGATCAAATTTAATTGGGCCTGAATTTTTGGACAGACAACCTCTTTCGTTTTCCCCGTTCCCCGAAATTCATTCAAACGCTTTTCACTTGACAAGCCAGGGAAATAAACAAACTACACAGAAAGCCAATGCCAAAGCCAAATCCAAATCCATGATTTCAGCTGCCAAATCCTTTTCAAAGCTGCAGCCAGGTGAAAAATAACGAAATATTGTATTTTTCATACATTTTTATAAAATATAAATACACATTCGTGTGGGTGAGTGGTTGTATCTGTGTGTTGGCCCTGCAACCGTGTGTGTGGGCCACCAACTACACAAGTTTATAAAAGACAGTCGTCTGCCCTCCTCACCCTCTCGTTTTTTTTTTTTTTTGGCCAGCTCTCTGTGTCTTTGTGTTGAGTGCTTTTTGGCTAAATGCGAAATCGATTGGAAAACAATTTCCAATTTTTAAAGAATTATCGCCGCCATATTCGCGCATGCTGTACTAAATCACACATAAGCAACCTCTAAATCTGCTACCCAGAACCCCACACACACATGTGTGTGTGGATAGGGGGCAACCTTTTCGCAAAGCTTTTCCTTTTTGGCTCGTTTATTTCCTTTTTATTTTCCCTTTTCCCAGCTCCGGCAATATTTTCCATTTCATTTTCTGCGCGGTTGGCAGCGCGTTTAGCTTTGGCTGCATGCCTGACTGACTTTTTGTTATACTAAAAATATATACATTTATATCTGCACATATAAATACAGCAGGGGTAACAAAAAAAAAAACTGAAATTCCTTTTTACAAAATATTTTTCCAACAGAAATAAAACTCTTTTAAAACAGAACCCTTTAATTAAGAAAAATGTTTATATAATAAGTTATAAGTTTAAGATATAATGATTACAAAAGGTTCTACCACCGATAACAACATCTCTTAAATAAGTGTTTGTATATATAAAATGTGAATTTAAAAAAAACCAGCTTTACCCTTTATTATAACCAATATGTCCCCAATAAACTAGTTTTGCTGTTTAAGATTTATTAAACTGTTAAATTTAAAACTGAATTAGTCTTCGATAAAAAATATACTTTCTTAAGCCGCACTCATATTATTTCAGCTGAACTATTGTTAGCTGCTCTCTGCTTGACCTCGAGTGTACCCTTATGGGTGTTATCTCCACCGCAATAGCAACTGAATTCGAAAAGAACGGAGATGGGGGTTTCTGGGGAGGTTTGGGGAGTGCCAACACAACCAGCAGCCATTTAGTTTTATGTGGCCCGTTCGGTTGGGTTATTGCACCTTTGACTCGACTCCATCGCCATCTGAATGCCAAGCTCCATCTTCGACTGGAGTTGTCACCCTGGAGGGCATCCACAAAGCATTTCGCATGTGAGCCATTTATTATTATTTGCTTTCAACGAACCCGAGATGCCGATGTGGAATGTGGAATGTCGAATGTGAACCCAAACCAGCCGCAAGTATTTCCTAATCAGGTTTTAACTACTAATAGGATTTCCGAGGTGGCGAATCGTAATTTACATGGCTTTGGCCTAAGATACCCAAAGAATTGAATTGGAATCCAGAGCAAAGCTGCCGCTAATGTATTGCAGATTATGGTAAATCCCTCGGGCACTTCTTGTCCCAGTCCCACTCCCAGTTCCAGCCTCATATACTCAAGGTCCTGGATGCTCACACGTGTCCTAGCACTGAGTGGATCCAATGGAGACTCCACTCAAGTCCCTGAAGCGCCTGAACCGCTCGATTCTTCGCTGGCGGAAGTGTCGCCTTAATTCAAAACCCACATTGCAAACCACCAGGCCCGTCATCACGGCGAGGATTACACCTGCGAAGATCAGCAGGAACCAGTGGAAGTAGCAGCTCATGGTCACTGGCTTCCGTAGCCAGGCATTCCAGGATGAAGTACATTCCTCCAGGACACATCTTCCGCGGAGATTCCTCACACATCCCTTGGCACAGCATCCATTTGGACTGATACGGCCGCAGGGTGTCACTTCGGTGAAGGGATTGGAGCAGTTGACCGTCTCATACTCCTCCGATAAACTTAAAACGGGATGAAGGATGAACTGGGCCAGGAAGCAGCCAAGGGTCAACGGATTGGACAACATATTAAACTCAACCTCTGCGCGAGTCTTACAGCTCGAAAGTCATTTTTAAGCTCTGGAAAAATTTTGAATATACACACTAAATGTTAGTAGTATGTCAGGGCTAACTAAAGTGAAACCCTTAGAACTTCAAAATAAAACTAAGACACAACCAACAAGCCATTTGCTTCTAATTTAATTTTTATAAGTTTTTTATTATATTATATTTTGTATGCTTTTTATTTTTTTTGTGTTGCTGAGATTGGAAACACATTTAATTTATTTTATGTGCTCACTCTTTTTCATTTTTGATGAATGGCCTCCATTATTAGTTGAGCCTTCTCGGAACTATTCCTGCGCCTCAACGGAATCCTGTTTCTGCTCCTGTTGATCCTTTGGCGAAATCGACTTCTGCGGATTCGGCTCCCAAGGATTTCTGATGAAGGTGTGGCCAGACGGATGGCTTTGCCTGCAGCAACCACAGCTTGTCGATTTGGTCCTGCGGATTATGACTGCCTTCTGATGACGATCGGCCATGAAGTAGGTGAATGCCAGCCAAACTAATGTAATCACAATAACGCCAAAGATGATCAGGACTTTGGTTTTAACGGGTTCAAGTTCAAGCGTGGAACTTGAGTCGGAACTCAACAACCAGACTGTCACTATTTTCACAAATAGTAAAAAAAAATTTTAAGCGAATGGGTTGCTTATTGCACGTACTTTGTTCAACTGAAGTCGGTCTTTTTTTATAAAAATCCAAAAGCTATAAAGACAAAAAACGTTTATCGCGATATGATAATATCAAAATATTTGCATGATAATATAAAAACAGAGAATAAATTATAAAAATATTAATATATGATAGTTTATTTTTAGTTTTAACTAAAATATAGTTTACAATTTCCTTTTTAATAATATGTAAGTAAACATGTTTTTTTATCGAATCTGTATGTGTTCGAGGAGATTAATATTATAGTTGGAAGTTAAAGAATACCATAAGCATATAAAGCGTATATTAAAGTCGCCTTAGAAATAACTTAAGTTTCCATCTTCGCATTGCTATAATTACTTTCTTGTTGATTGTTGAATTCCGCAGCACCCTCGAAAGGAAGGGGGAATTCATCTTGATCTTGATTAGAAGTGCCACATGCGCTCGCAACTCACTCGAATTCGTTCAAAGAGACCATAAACCAAATCGGCATAACAAAGTGATTCTAATGTAATTCGTGATTTTGCATAATTATAAAGTTAATAATTAAAATTGTTGCGTGCACAAAACCGAAATGAAAACATTAAAATTTAATGATGATTTCAGGTGCATTGGGCATTTGGAATTTACAGAGAGGATTTCGGGGGCAGGCAAATCGGCAAATAACTAATGCGTAAATATTAGCAAATACCTCCCACTTCGCCCCTCGGTTTTCCCATAAATTTGAGACACATATGCAGTGCGTTTGTAATAAGCAATCAATTATTATTATTGAATTTCGGGCATGGTCAGGTGCAAAAAGGGGGCGTGGGCGTGGGCGAGGGCGAGGGCATTGGGGTTTTCACCTGGCAGCTGGTCAACGCTACTAATGCGTCTAATGAGAATTTAAGCACACTTCAACCCTCTCGGTCCGATTTTAGCCCACCCCCTTTGGAATTTCGGAATTTTGCGTGGATTTGCACAGCACACATTGCCCCAAGTACAGTTGTGCTCAGCCCAAATGCAAATACAATTACATTTCGAGCCCATTTAGCGGCATTTCGGTTTTGCCTTTCATATATTTTCCCCGATTTCCAATTTGTTTGTCGAAACTGCTTAAATCTGTGATTTGCGGTGGTGCTCTGGATTTTTGGAGTGCGAGAGGTTACTATACATTCGGTGATGATTTTATTGGGACACTTATTATAATTTGTATTTCTGCTAAGCAATTAAATTATTAGTAGCTAATTAAATAGATTAATTTTAAAGTATTATGTAAGGTTTTTTAGGCAATTGTTTAAAAATAAACTGAAATATTAAGAAAATAAGTAATAGTATTTTGGGTTGATAACCAATTTCCTTTAGTAATATAATTTTTCAAGAATATCAGATTTTTTAAATATTTAGAAAGTACTTATGAATGTTACATTATTTGCAATCGTTTCCAATTTTAAGAGCATTTATATTTTTATAAGCCCATTTAAAATCCTAAACAGGATAGTTACCGTATAAGTGCGTTTTCTAACTCCCCGTATTTTCCCCGCTTAAATGGTGTTCATGTAACCCTGCTAAACCGACATCGTTAATGATAATTTAATTATTGCCCGGCATTTCGGGCTTTGGCGACTTACGCACTCCTGCAAACGAGAGCCTGCGGCCTGGCTAATTGCAGCAAATCTGCTTGGGGTCAGTTAGTCGTCCTTATTAACTGATAATTGCAATCGCCTGGCTTTCGGCCACCAGGTGAGTGGAAGCGGGAATGGAGTTGGGTGCATAAAACATAAAGCGGGCAAAGCCGCGAATATCGCCGAATATCCATTGCCAAGATTCGAGAGATACAAACGGTGACAGTTCGGCAATGCGATAGGAACTTAACACGCAAATGGATATGGATGGGGGCATTGTAATAATAAAACAAAAGTGTCAGCCAAAGATATCGGGGGATATGCGGAATCCATATTGAAAATTGATTTAAATTTTTAATAGGCATCAGGCAGCGGCGGCGCTTTGATAAAAATGCCAGCACACGCGGCAATCGCACAATCGCGGGCTTACGTCGCAGGAAGATATATCCTGATCCGCACTCCTGACGGGGGCTCTAGTTAAATATGGAAACAATATCGAAATGCCAACTGAAATCGGCTGAAACTTGCAAGTGAATGCCGAACGCGATATGAATATCTATATGGCATCGCTGCCTGCATTTATATTTGTTTTCGGAGCTGTCAAATCATATTTTAATCTGTTTTGATTGCTGACTTTTGTGCGAGGGATTTGGACCACGACTGCAACTGCCACAGCGGAAATGCAGCGGAAAATATTGCATTTTATTTTATTTATGCAAAAAAAGACGGGGCGAATTTATATGGAAAGCTCGTTCATTCCCCGCCTTCCGATTTTTCCGCATTTTCCGCTCGTGACTCCAGTTGCCCTGTGTGCGTTTTCCATTTGTTTCATTTGATGCGCCCGAGTTAAGCAGTAAAATCCACTTTTTACGAGTTGTCCCCGGATTCCTCCGCCGGCCACTCCCCCTCCCCCCGCCCCCCCCCTTTTTGGGAGCTTTGTGTTTCTCATACGAGCGTAAGAAAAACCAACAGCACGCATACAGTAGCTGAAATTTGTCAATAAAATATTTCAGAGCTAGAGGTGTGCATTAAGGCGACTTTTTTTCAAAATAATAAAATTGAAAAGATCAAGCCAAGAAGCTGTTTAAAAATATAATTTAACTGCATGCAGATTTTTCGCCTTTGGTTTTAGACATTATCAGGTCACAATCGTTTTTTGTCAGTAAAACTATTGCTTTAGCCTGGAATTTATATAGTTATAATGCACCTTAACAGTTTTTCGAATTAATAAAATAGTAATGGTCAAGATGTTTTCAGGAGTGCAACATAAATCTACTTATAATCAAACTCCAACTAAAAATCATTACTAGGTCTCACACAAATCGTTTGTATTTTGACCGAAGACTTAAAAAACTGTTATATTAAACCGTAAGATGTTAATTAGACGTAAATATTTTCCAACATTTTTTTTGTGCAATTGTAAATAGTAAAATCTGTTTAAATTCTTAGGAACCAATTAGATATCATTTTAAGACAAAAACATATAGAAAGTAGATATTTTAGAACACAGTTTAGGGTCACTTCTTTGCCATATATTATTCGTAGAGAGTGGATCTCATCACTAGCAGGTCCTTTTCCTCCCGACTTTCCCCAACTCCCCCTGCTTTTGCGCGGCTTTAGCAGTGACTTAAATACACATAACCATAGATGGCGCCACTGGCCCTCGTCCTTGTGCTCGTCCTTTCCCTGCTCCTTTCCCTTGGCTAGATTGTCAACATATTAGCTTCAAATGGCTAAAGTTCTGCGACTTTTGATGTTGCCTCATTTTCTCACGCACGCACAGCAACTAGCCTCGTCTCTTTCTGCTCACATGCTCCCTCTCTTTCCATTCGCATGCTCTGTCTCTTTCGCTCCGCCTGTGGGGCATCGTTGTTTAATGTGGTGTTGCCAACTATTTTAGCCAAAAGCTCACACGGGTTGCGCGGCCGGGTGATTTGCTTGCTTAGCTTAACGTGGCCCGGAATTTTAGGGGGCTGGAGGTGGAGGCGGAGGGAGGCGGAGGGGCGGGGCTCTCCGGCCGTATTTCTGCCCGTGTCCGGGAGTCCGTGCGTCCGGGTGTCCGACATCCAACCATCCGGCTGTCCGCTCCCATCTCCGGCGAGATGCTTTTGCCTTTGGCGTTGAAGCGTTCGGTTGACATTCGTGAAATCTCTTAAAATCCCGAAGGTCGTTGCCAGGGATTTTCTCAGATTTTGCTAGATTTAAATGAATTAGTTGCTTTGGGCGGGCAGGCCGATTGATTTTCTGACCTTTTCGCTTTTTTTCTGGCATTTTTTTCCGGCCCCGCGAGGGAGTGAGTAGGCCAAAATGCAATTTGGCTTAAGAGCAATTGCAGCCATGACTCACCATTAGCTGCAGCTGACCCCCCGAACCACATAATTCGCTGCATGAAATGAGTACAAATGGGGTTTCCCCTTGGCTGGCAAAATAATATGGATGAGGCCAAATTAGACACGCGGGGTGGCAATGGAGAAAAATGTCCACTGCATTCTGCAAGTAATTAAAATATGAGAAAACAGTTTCAGCTCCCTCATAAAATATTCCGGAGTCAACAAAGGATGTGTCGCCTGCAGGCGACCCTCGTTTTCCGATGGAAGGAGCCTTCTCCTTTGCTGGTCAGGCTGGTGGGCTTAAAAAAGCATCAAATTTCATATTCAAAATGGCACTTTACATGTTCAGCATAATTTATAAATGCACGCAGCGGCAGAAGAGCAGAATCAGCAGAGCCCGGCTACAACAAACATGAAATGTGCTGCGGTGGCAATATTTTTGAAGCAACATTGTCGACACTCTGAAAAAGG